CCGGTTCTGTGCTCTCTGCTTCTTTTCAATGCGCGAGTGGCTAGAGGCTAAAAGCTAGCACATACTTGATCTCCACTCCCTCCGGCTGCCAGAGGCTCACTCCTAGCCGGCGCCCAACCTTTTGGAGCTCTTCCGCAGCCAGGTTTCAGACCGCACTGCAAATCGCCCTGCAACATTTTACTGCTGATTCATCTCAGTGCCTGGGGAGAGGGAACACTTCCTTCACTTTGATAAAAAGAAATCACAGTTGTACCAAAGATATTTAAATATCTCCGTTTACCTCCCTCAAAAACAACCCCCATTACTGTAATACGCTCTCAGAGTTACTGGAGAATACAGACGGAGGGGTAGCTAAAGTTAATGTGAGCTTCAACTAAATTCAGCCAGAATGTCTGCCTGGTGCCAATTAAAAGCAAAATGGAACTAATTCTCTTGCCTGATGGTCAAAAACAAACTATGTGAAATGCACAGAATCGGCAGTTCATTTTTTAGTTTTAAAATGGGACGTGCCATTCACAAACCCTGGGGTTATCGACACCACTACGTGCACAGTGTGGAATACACATAGTGCAGAAAGTACTGTGCTGATGGCAATGGAGCTTCCCAGAGAACAGAAGCGATCGTCGATCGTCACTGCCATAATGTGACTTACGGTCTACTTGGGGAGAAAACACACACAACAGACAGGCACATGGAGGTACCATTTCAAAACATTTTCCCAGAGCAGCCTAGCACGAGGCTAGTAAGAATGTGCAGGCACTGTGAGAGAGCGCAGACTGTCAGCTTTCGCAGGGATTCTGCATGGGCTCCCGTCAAATGACTAGATCTGTGAGTAAAAAAGCTTATTTGCAATGGGTCGAATCCATTTGTTTAGTATGGCATTCTGAATAACACAGAACTCTTAGAGAAATGTTGCTAGTAAGGAAAGGAGGAGAAAAGTATGTTTTATGTTATTGATCAATACAAAATAAATACATCTCACTGTCGTACTCTGAGGAAACTCCGGACCAAAATTAGCACAGAATCTAATTACTTAGTTTGAAGACTGAGTTTACTCAATGACAAAACTTTAGAAATGCCAAGATCTTCCTCAACCTAAAGTGCAGAAGAAATTATTTACTCCAAAAGTTAGTACGGGAGTGCAGAGGCATGCTTCTGGAGGGCTGCTACAAGCTTCACACAGTTAGAATTCTTATTTTAAAAAATATACTCTGAGCCCTTCAAGTTTTATAGGTGGATTCAAAGCAGAAGGTAACATCAAAAGGGGTGTAAATTTGGTATGAACCCAGTCACTAAATATGTTGTAGTAAGAAGCTAGGGAGAAATAAGACTGGATTGACAAGAAACTAAAAGCAAACAAGCAAAATGACTCTAACATCACAATTTATCCACTCTATAACTCTCTTGTGATGCACACAAAACAAACCTTTTGTAAACATCAGGGGCTCATGGGAGTTTTAATAACAGTAAGTACCAATTTATTGTGTACTTGCTACTTGCCAGGCCTTAGTTTTGAATAAACTTGTAGGGATGCCTATTTTGATTCATCAAATTTACAAAACCAGGCACCAGAGCATGACCTGAAACACAACCAGACCCACGTTTTCCTGATGCTTTGTCCTTTAAAATGTTCTCATTATAGTAGACTTTATGTCTGTCAGAAAATGGCACCTGGACCTTCCCTGGCAAAGACAATAATAACTTGGTAAAGTGATATCCAACTTACCAGTTGGAACTCTTTTTTTTCTCTTAATTTTATTTATTCTTTGATATATTTTAATTTGACTAGAGAGAGAAAGAGGGAAAGTGAAAAAGCAAGCTATCAGCTACCAGGTGGACCGTAGTCAGTCATATGGGAGTGTCCAGTGACCCAACCACCACACCACCTGCTGGCCTCCCAGTTGGAACTCTTAAGACAATGGCAACAATAGCAGCTACTAGGTCTTTACTGTGTGTCAAGTATTGTACTAGGTACTGTGTATAATAGGTATGCCTGTACATATAGGTAGCTATATATATATATATATAGCTATATATATATATATGGTTCTAATTCTCCCAAAAATCTTGTAATGTAGTTTTAGAAATGTTTGTACAGGACCAGCAGTTGGCGTAATGGCTATGTCGCTGGACTCCCATGTAGTTGACTGTGGTTTGAGTCCTGGATCTGGCGGCTTAAACTCACACCAGGCATGTGTGCATGCGTGCTTAAGATCCTGAAAGGAGAATGGAGGAGAAGGGATTGTGGTGTGGCCATCCCCCATGGTGGGTGATTTCTTGCTTTCTATCTCTCTGTCTCTGTCTTTCTGGAGAGTGCACGTGCCCTACAGCAAAAAACCTCTTCAAAAAAAAGGCATGTTTTTACCGATGGAGAACCCGATATTTGGGAAGATCAGGCAATGTACCCAAGGTTATGTATTGGGTCGTCAGAAAAGTCATAACATACTTTTCTGTTTTTCTATGCAAAATGCATCATGACTTTTCTGACAACCCAACAAGCTTAGTGGCAAAGCAAAAGTCAAACCTGTTTCTTTCTGAATTTCAAAGTGTTCTTTACTGCACAATTCCTGTCATCAATAAAAACAGCAGGCTGGAATCAGAAACCAGATCTTATTATGGAGGGGATAGTGCCACACCTATTTGTTGCATTTATTAATAATTTATTCATTAAGAATTTATTGAATGCTACCTATGTGTCACATACAAAGGAACACACATGAGGGGCAGAAGGTGGTGTTGTAGTTGAGGAGCTGGACTCACACATGGTTGACCACAGTTTGAGTCCTGGACCTGGTGGCTTGAAACACACACTGGGCATATACGCATGTGTGCCCAAAAACATAAGAGGAGAATGGAGGAGAAGGTATTGTGGTGTGGCCATCTCCTTGAGAGGGTGACTTCTTACTTTCTGTCTCTCTGTCTTGCCAGTGAGCACAAGTGCTCTAGAGCAAAAAATCCCTGGGGGGGGGAGGGGGGGAGGAAGACAAAAGAATACAGTGAGTCACACAAGGTGGTGGTGAGGAGTTAAAGGAATCAGAAGGAGCAATAGCCAGAGAAGTGCTGAGGTTCAAGTTCATTATACCAGGTCAGGATAAGTGGGTAGATCTAGAAAAGGAAGAAAAGGGCCTGAGGCACAGAGTACAGATTAACTCTGCTCCTGGGTTAACCCTCACATATGAAGTACGCCTATTCCTCCATAGCAACTGAAAGGTTAATTTCCTCCTAGAATTTCCCATCATAACTACTGTGGCCTGAATTTTCATTGTAGGAGGTACAATATTGTGTAATTATTATAAGAAAGATCATAGGCTTTGAAATAGAAATATCTGGTTAAATGCCAGTTATTTAAACAGTTTTAGTTTCCTCATCTGTAAGAGAAGATATTAATCCTTTTCTCAAGCTCTTGTGAGAGTTATATTCTAAGCACCTTTGTTTCTTTTATACACTTCAATTTCACTTATTATGCCTCCTTAGAGATCAAGATAAGCAGCCAATAATCATCCATAGACCAACCTGAGAAATTATACATTAATGCAAACCTCAGATCGATGGAAATTTTCCCTAAATTATATTGGATTTTTGGAAAAGTAATGACACATTTTTGCATAGAAAAATATGCCATGACTTTTCCAACAACCTAATATAATAACTTATATAATTTGTTTGCTTGTTTCTAACCAATATTTACTTTAGAAGCTATGTGATGCAAATAAATATTTTTGCTTAGGAAAAGCTACTATTGATATTTTATGAAGGACTCTTTCATGGCAAAATCATTTGGTTTTCTTGGTCAAATTAAAACAAAAGTAATTGGTATTTTGGCACCCTAAGGGTTTCCCCCACTAAAATAAGGTGTTTCTTCAGTATATACTCGGAAGGTATGCATGTCAGAGCACATATAGGATGGTTATAGAAGCCTCTGCCTTCCAGTGTGCAGAAAGAACTGAACTCACAAGCCCTCTAATTTGCCAGAAGATTCTGTGATGGGTAATCAACCAGTTAAAACAGTTTGCTGATACAGGAACTCAAGAGGGGGTTAAGAGTGATAAGCTATGCACTAATGCCCCTGGGAATTCTTTCTGAATGAGACACTAAAGTCAGTAGTTTATTCGTTGAGCCATATTTTTTGCTCTGTATAGATTTAAGTGAATTTTAGGAAAATACAGACAATAAGATACATGGGCTATTTTTCCATTAAGGCATCATGTAATGTAATATTTGATACCTATTTGAGAGTTACGTGAATCTTACCTTTTATAGTTCAGTTCAAGGTGATTCTAACATCATTGATTTACAGAAAAGAAAGCTACAATACATAAATAAATTTGTCCAAGACTAAACAGTTGTTTTCAGAGCTGAGATGAGGACTTAGGCTTCTTGCAATTTAGAATATGACAAAATGTATTCACTGAGATCATCTGACTAGAAAACATGCAGAAAAAAGTAAGATCCCAATTAATGGATTTATGAAAGAGTAGTGTACCTATAAAATGAATGATCGTTGTTCTATTAAAATAAAACAATTTTACGAGAAGAAAAGGATTATTTAAGTTTATTTATTTCAAAGTATCATCTATTTTCACTTTTATATAAACACATTCATTTATTATTATTTTACCTAAAGACGCCTTTCAGTCATGGATAGCTGTGATAATAGATTAAAATGTGTTAGCTATATCAACATGAGATTTTTAAAACCATTTCATTTATCTGTATCCTTTATTAGAATAATTGCCATCTTGGCCTTTGTTTTCCAGAATTTCATAGTTTTCAATTCCAAATATTAAAAAAGTCAAACAATAGTATCTATACACAATCATGAAACAAAAAGTCAGTGTCTGAATGAACAATTAAGAAAATGTCCATATGGAGAAAATATTTTCACAGAAAATGTATATCAACAGATATCTAAGTTTTATCAGACTATAGTGGTAGAAATGCTGCTTTTTATGGAAAATAACAGAAACACTGTTCTGAAAGTATTGCATAATACTACCTACCTTCTTTTTTGTGAGATTTGTTCCAGTTTCTTGGCTAATGTACAGCACTCTTCCTTTAACTTTGTCAAAAATGTATTCTGGGAGGTCAGCAATGAAAACTGTTCATTTTCTAGAAATAACAATAAACCCCCACCAACATAAGATTTTAAGATTATAGTTCTGCAGTGCTTCCATACGTAGAGTTGTGACGTTCTTAGACCACTATACATTTCCTATAAGCCATTAGCTCATTTTCAAAGGCCTAAGTCATAGAACCTAGTAACGGGCAAGACAGTCTTTTGAGACGTTCATTTTCATAATAGTTATATACCAGAAACATTTCTGATCATTCCAGCTTGGTGTAACATTTTAACATGTTAATAAATTGTCAAATACCTCAAGTGGAGTCATAGATGCTTATATATTTATAAACTGCAAGATATGTATTATATTTTTATTTTGACAATTTTACCATAAACAGTGTCAAAAATTCTCACAACCCCAGAAAATTCAAAACTGAAATTATTGAGGAACTCTCTTCTACATTGTAATTCATGCTTTGAATTATATATTTGTATATATAGTTAATACTACCACTCTCTCCTCTAATCTTGCACATATTTCTCTTAATTATGAAAGTAAAATGCGTGATTTATTTTTTTTTAGAATTTTCATTTTATTGATAAAAGTATGAGTGTCAATAAAGATCTGGTGAAAAAATTTATAAGAGGGATTCTTTTGTGCAAAATAAAAGGAAATGTTCCTAAGGTGGTTTTAACAACTAACTAGGCTTTATGTAGTGCTGATTCTGCCCAAGGCTCTTTGATCACTCGGATCCTGCTAGCAGTGGAGGCAAACAATTATTTATCCTATAATTTTCTCTTTTTGTTTTCAGGGGAAAAACATTTACTAAATCTGGTGAGTTCTCATTTCTTCTGGCCAAATGCCGTTAGAAGAAAATCTCTACTGAAAGTGCTAGAGGGAATTGTGTGACTTGATTTGACATTTGCCTCTTTATAAGTAGTTTAATAAATGTCACGTTAGCAATAATTCACCTATAGGATAAGAAATAATTCTTTAACCAAGTCGTCAAATACAATATACACTAAACCACGCGAAAAGTACCTCTAAGTGTAAGTTTTAGTGTGCCCGTTATTTCTTTTCAATTTTAGCTAATTATTGGCAAAAACCATACAGCATACAAAGCAAAATAAATCAAGGCACTAAAATTAAGCAACATTTTTCTGGAAGAGACAGGATCAATTAAACTTTTGTTTTAATAGTACAATCAGCGTGGAGTATGTGGTGTGGAATTATAATGACTGACACTGTCTTGTTTTGACTAACACTGTCTGTGAACACACAACTCAAAAGTGAAAGGAACTACATAATGCTCCGGCTGAACAAATCAAACTGCCTATTTTCAAAGTGCATTTTACTTTCAAATTAAAGGTAAAGAGTTACTGGCCAACTCCGTCTGCAGAACAGTGCCAATGTGATGAAAGATGGCAATTTTTAGCCAAGCTGCCAGCTGTGGTCAATGCCTTGTATTAGTGAATTTTAACAGCAGTTGTGAGAACTTGAAGAATGCAAAGGATTAAACATCACTCTAGATTGGGTTGGGGGAGGTGGGGAAATCATACAAATGCTAAAAATGTTCGAAGCTGCAAAGATTAAATAAAGGAACATATCAATTTGGAGCCACTGAATTACATCCAGCTGCGACAGTGAATTAAGAACCGATTAATGGCTAAAGCTTTTCTCCAGTTTGGATGCTGAAGCAAACTCATTAGGCTTTTAGAGTAGCTATAATGTGTGTACTGTGGGAACTGTTCAATGCTATTCAGGAGACTCTAACTGTAAGCTCAGAGCATTTCCCGCAGAGCTTCTGATGCTATTTTCTTTATATAACATGTGTGCCTGAAAACCCAGCCAAAAACAAGCCCTTTGTTTTTCTACTTTGTTGTGGTCTCTCTCAGCTTTACGTTTCTTGAACACAGGTAAATAAACTCATAATCCAGATGGTGCAACAGATGTGAGAGCAGCACTCTGAAATCAACAGACAGTGGGCAATACTTTCCATTTTCTCTTTTAAACGCTAACTAATATGTAATTCGGAATCTCCGGTGTAGTTAGCATCTGCTCCCTTCGGCCAGCCAAAGGTTACAGGTGTTCCTGATGTCATTTCACAGTAAGGCGTGGGCCTGGCTTGTGAGCGAGTGCCCAGGCTCTAATCTTTCC